GGCTGTCACCTTCCGGGATACCTGAGTGAGTGAGACACAAAATTCGAAGGCATCTCTAAAGCTGCAGTGGATCCCCGCTCCTCCTGTTGCCTCCCCAACTCACCTAGAAGGCTCCTCTCTCTTCAGCTGCTCCCAAGATCGCCCCTGCAAATGAAATGGCTAAATGCTCAAACACTGAGCTCTCAAACATTTAGGGATGGCTCACAAGGAAAGCTAAAAACCTCTAAACCCCATCAGGCTGCACGCCGAAGCGTTGCTACACACTGTGAAGTGGACAGACGGCCGCTGCAAGACAACCCAGATATGGAGGCTTGTGCTGATGTACTGCCTCATACTGGCTATCTCGGGCTCCTTTAGCTTGACCTCTTATAGGATGGACCTCCGGCACCTTCAGCAGACGGGCAAAGGGTTGTGTATCACCTAGAAAAAAAATTAAACAGTTACAACATATATGCATAGATTGACCACATAGATGACATCCTAAAACTAACTCCAAATTCGACTGGGGAGTAAAATTCTCACCTCGCTCGTCTCCCTGCTGAGCCGCTACGCCTTGAGACCGATTGGGCCCCATCTGGAAAATAAAAACCAAGAAGGCACAAGATAAAGGACTCCTACAGCTAAAACTGACATCCTTCATCCAACACCCAAGACAACCTTCTTCCCAGGCTGCTTCAACTCGTCTCGGTCTGGGGTACACTGTGTCCACTTATCTGAAAAGAAAAAAAAAAAACAAACAACAGGTTATTCAGGTCACCCACATGGTCACTGAGACCTTAACCACTTCAAAGAACTCATTTCCACGGAGCGAGTGAGAACTCTGACCGCAGCATACAAGAATACAAATGACAACCCAGCTTCAAGGCCCTGCTATCCAAGTACCATCAGCTCCACAACACTCAGCTATAATGATTGCAAACGAGTTATGGACACCTGCTCCATCCAGCAGATCAGTACAGCCATTGGCTCGACTGACTAAGGCAACTGACATGTTGATGTGGGACCCTGAGCAATATTCTATCTACCCACTGATCCACGTAGCAGGGCAGAGCAGTTCCAGGCTGACCCCAAGTGAGACATCCCATACCTGTGATGACACACACCATGTGACACAACTAAGAGACGTAGGACACAAAACATGGAGGAGACAAAGGATGTGAAACAGACCGGAACTGCTCTGCCCTGCACACGAGAATCCAATGATACAAAGTAAGCCCTTCCTTTGATGTCTCTAAATAACCTGCTACAGGACACCCATTGCACCATACTAATTGAAAAAATCCCTCCGGGCGATGCACATACTTGCACCGACTCCCAACCCCTCTCTGGGGCTTTGCCCTGCACTTATCCTTCCGAGACCCGGGGCTGTGAATCCATCTTTGACGCAGAGGAGGGGCACCTGGGCTGGCTCAGAGGTTCCTGTTGGCATGAGAGTACTCGAAGTCAACTGTGAAAAAGAAAACCATACACAATATCTGAGTAGTGTGGCAC